GATGAGTAAGCATGCATTTGGTGCAAAAAATAGGTAAGAAATAACATCACAAAGTGCCCCACATAGTAAAAAAAACTCGCCTAATGTGAATAGGTCGAGACCGTAGTAAGGCAAGTTGCACCCACGATCACATTGGTCGTGCCGGCGATGGTACTACTGGTTGACCGGCTAGGGTGGATTTTGTCCCTTTTTGCTTCGATTCAGTCTTGTTTCGCTCCGGTTTGGTCCCATTTCGGGTGTCCCACAGGGCTTAAACACTTGGCCAATATAGGCTTAGGGTTAGGAATAAAGCTCAAATTCCAAGCTCTCTTACTAATAATTTTGTGAGAAACACATATTCTGATTGTCATCATCGGGTAATAAAAAAAAAGCGTCGAAGTCTTAGGATCGGTCAAAATGGGGTGTCTACAATATTATGTGAATTTTTTTTTTCCTGTGACTAATTTTTACTATTTTTATAACTATTTATAAAATTGAAATATGCTGTGCAATTAATTTTTTTTAGACTAGTTTTAAGTTTGAAACGTAAACTGTTTGGTTGAATTTTAAAATTTTGTCTTTTATTTTTTTAAAAAAAATAATTAAAAGTGGCTTGATAAAAGATATTGTTTTCATTTTCATATGATTCTATTTTTGTTTTTGACAAAAATAATATTTGTATGTTTGAATAATATTTTTATATTAATTGTATAATTTGAGTTAATATTTTTATTAGTCTCTGTGTTTTTTCTTCACAGATAAAATAATATTTTTTATTTAAAAATTAATTTTAAAAAAATAATATAAAATATTAGAAATATTTTGTTATATCTTTTTCATTTATAAATAACTCAGATGTGTATATATTTTTTAAAGTACTTTGTAGGGTGCAAGTCCATTATGTGTGGGGGGTACATGTTCATTATCTGTAGGTGCAAGTTTAGTATGTGTGGTGTCTAATTAAACTTATGTAGTGGTGCAAGTCTAGTCTGTGTTAGCATGCAAGTCGAATCTATGTGAGGGTGCAAGTTTACTCTATGTGGTGTGCAAGTCAAATCTTTGTAGTTGTGCAAGTCTAGTCTGTGTTGGTGTGCAAGTCAAATCTATATGGGGGTGCAAGCTTAGTCTGTGTAAGGTGCAATGAAATCTATGAAGGGTGCAAGTTAAATTTGTGTAAGGGTGCAAATCTAATCTGTGTGGGGCGCATGTTTAAGCCTCGTTTGGGAACAAGCTTTTTTAGTAATTTTTTGACTTTTTAGCTAAAATATGATATATAAAAAACTAGTATGCTTGGGATGAGTTTTTGATTTTTTTACGAAAAGATGTGCAATAAGTAGAGAGAAAAAGGAAATCTTTGACTTTTGGTATAAGTTGTTGGTTTTTTGATTTTTTTGGTGACTTTTTTGGCTTTTTGAATAAAATCACCACTTGCCAAACGAGACCTTAGTCTATGTAGGGATGCATATTCAGTATGCATAGGGTGTGCAAGTCAAATCTGTGTAGTAGTGCAAGTCTAGTCTGTGTTGGCGTGTATGTTGAATCTATGTGGGGGTGAAAGTTTAGTTAGTATGAAGTGCAAGTTTAATTTGTGAAGGGTGCAAGTTGAATCTGTGTAGGAATGTAAGTCTAATCTATATAGGACACGAGTTTAATCTATGTAAGGTGTGGGGTGCAAGTCTAATATGTGTAGGGATACAAGTCTAGTCTATTTGAAGTGTAAGTTTAGTTTGTGTGGGTGCAAGTCTTACTTTGTGTGTGGGATCAAACATGGCCCCTATTTTTTTTTTGTTATATTATTATTTTGGTTTGAGTTATTATTTGCGTGGTTTGAATTAATATATTTTTATTTACATTTGTATTATTCTAAACGATATTGTGACAGTGGGTGAGACTCACTGTCACATTATTAATGGTGGCATTAATTAGTATTTCCACTCATTTTCCTTTCTATATATGCATTATGGTATCTGTTTAAGGAAAATAGTTATGACCACTAAAAGTAGTGCTCTAATAGCACCATTAATGATATAGTAGTGAGTCCCGTCTATTGTCTATGCCTTTTTTTTTGTTGACATTTTTAATATATTAATGCTATTAGTGATCTTATTTTTAGTATTATGAATCATTGTGGATCTATTTAAATAGGGTAACTTATGCCGCATAGCAAGTACACCAGCTTTTATGGTGTTATTATCTGGGATGAAACTATGAGAATATTATAAGGGATTCTGGTTCTTTTGTTTTTGTAAAAAAAATCTGTTTATTATAGTATTTTTAAAATATATATATATTATTTTATAAATAAAATAGCATCGTAGTATAAAAGATATATACTTTATTCTTTTCTCATCTTTTATTCTTTGTTATTTTTCTAGAAAAAGATTTATTCATTCTATTAGAGATTGTTTATATGATATTTAAATTTTTTTATGTGTATATATATAATTTATATATCATATTGTACATATATGTGTACTTGAATATACGGTAAAAAAATATTATTTATCTTTAACCCCTGTAGTAATAAAATCCTAATTTCATCTCTGTGTGTGTGAGAGAGAGAGAGAGAGTATGTGCAAGGCATATTAGTGAGCGTAAGAGTTAAGGGTAAAATCCGTTTAGTTTAATTTTATAATTATGATTTAAGTGTAAAATTGTGATTTTAAGTGTGGAGTTGTGAGTTCAATTTTAAAAAAATAAAAATTTATTTGGTTATGAGTTTTGAAAATATTTTTGAGTTTTTGAATTTTGAATTTTGAAAAGAATTTTGAGTTTTGAAAAGAGTTTTAAGTTGTATTTTGAGTTTTAAGTTTTTGAATTTTGAAATTTTTCGAATTTATTTCTTTTAAATATTTAAAAACGTTTAAGAAAAATTTATTTTTCATTTTAAATATTTTATTTCATTTTTGTAAATTTTTTAAATTCAAAACACAACTCCACACTCAAATCAGAAGCAAACACGTACCTCCAAACTCAATTCAAAAACTATTTTCAAAACTCATAACCAAACACATAACTCAAAACTCAATTCCAAAATTGTTTAATCAAAATATATTTTTTTATTTTTTTATTTTATTGAAAAATATTTTTTGTTATTTTTTTAAGTATTGGCCAAATAATTTGTTATGGTTTAGATATAGGGAAAATTGGTCTAAGGTCCCTCTCCCAATTTTAATAATGGAAGAGATCCACAATATTATATTATGATGTCTAAGGTCCCTCAACTTCCACACCAATATATCATAGAGAAAATTAACTCTCTCAAGTCAATCCTTATGTCGAAGTGACATTCGACCTCCGAGACGATGACACGATCATGCTCCGCAGTGTGGAATCGACAACGATCTTCAATATTGACCGAGAGTTTGCCTTCTTCGGAGGAGCGGACACTCCGTCCGCGTCGGCGTTGGCTTCTACCTCTGGTTCGCGGTCTCCGACAATGAGGTGGAGTTCGTCGAATCGTCTCCTTCAGTTCTCGCAAGAGTTGAAAGCAGAGGCGGTTGCAAAAGCGAAGCATTTCTCTCAGGAGTTGAAGGCGGAGCTAAAGCGGTTCTCGTGGAGTTATGGTCATGCGTCGCGTTCAGCGATTCAAAACGTTCTCATAGTAGGAGGTAGCAACGGTCTAGACTCTACTTTGGTCGCTCGAGCTTTCCATCAACAGAGAGCTCGTCTCAATCGCACCCGTTCTGGTGCCAAAAAAGCTCTAAAAGGACTCAGATTCATCAGCAGTAGCAAAAACAACAACGTTGATGAATGGAACGAAGTTCAGAACAGCTTCAACAAGCTTGCCAAGGACGGTTATCTCTATTGTGCCGATTTCGGACAATGCATAGGTCATAAAACTCTCTCCCATTACAATGGTGCGATTTCAATGCGTGTTTAAACCTTTTCAATCTCAATTTTTATCATTTTCTGGTTGTAGGACCGAGAGATGATTCAAAGGAATTTGCGTTGGAATTGTTCGATGCTCTGAGCAGACGACGAAGGTTGAATGTTGACAAGATCAGCAGAGATGAGCTTTATGAGTATTGGTCTCAAATCACTGATCAGAGCTTCGATTCTCGACTCCAGATCAGCAGAGATGAGCTTTACGAATTGTTTTATGCATTATTATTTTTTTATTTTCAAAAAAATTAATAGATTTATTCTCTGATTTGAATAAATTTCTCTGGGTTATAAAGGGAAATTTCTTTGGTTTTGAGAAAATTTCTCTGGGTTGAAATGAGTCCAGAGAAATTCTTTCCTGATCCATAGAAATTCTCTGGATTTCTCTAGTTTAAACTCAATTTGTTTAATTTTCTCTGCCTTTAATTGAGTAAAATTGGTGAAGTCATATGTATGTATTTATACTATTTGTTTGTTTGGTACACTCAGCGAAATTTACTGAGACAACTCAGTGAAATTTCAATAAAACAAACTCAGAGAAATTTGTTCTCTGAAGAGAAATTCTCTCAGAGGTCCAGAGAAATTCTCTGGAGAGAAATTTCTCTAGAGCAATTTTAGCTGTGACATGAATTTTCTCTGGATCAACTTGAAGGACCTTAAACATTATGAAAATATTTGATATCCTTTATGTTATAAAATTTTAATACGATGGACCTTAAAAAAAAAAAACCCCTTAGATATATATGGCTATCCAATTTTTTTTGAAATTAAAAAAATTTAAATATTTTAAAAAATAAAATCATGATTTTAAAACATAAAATAAAAAAATATTTTTAAAATTTTTCTTTAAATAAAATTTTAAAAAGAGTTTAGTTATAAATTTTGAAAAGAATTTTAAATTAAATTTTGAATTGTGTGTTTAGTTACACATTTGGAAAAGAGTTTAGTTATAAATTTTGAAAAGAATTTTAAATTAAATTTTGAATTGTGTGTTTAGTTACACATTTGGAAAATAATTTTAAATTTTTTTTATTAGAATTACAATTTCAAAAGAGATTAGTTATTAGAATTTTTATTAGAATTTTGAGGGGTGTGTTTGGACAACGGCTATATACACCACCGCCCCCACCCAACGGTGCATTTCTCTCACAAAATTGCAACGGAGGCAAATGTTCCCTTACATCTTTTTATCCTCCTCTCTCTCTCTCTCTCTCAAAAAATCTTGAACGAGACTGTGAGCAGTGGTGACTGTGAGGAAGAAGCACAAGGAAGGTTTGAAGGAGGCACTTGTAAAACGTTTGGATGCTCTCACCGACAAGATCGGAGGGAATGTTGTGTTGCAGCTTGTTAGCACCGATATGGATCCAAGTATGCCCCCATTCTCTGTCTCTCTCTCTCTTAAAAAATCTTGTCAATTTTTATTTTCCCCCAAACTAACAATTTTCTAGGAAAAAAATAAAAAAAAAATGTTCAGAAATTAAATTATGAGAGCCAAAATCATTATCGGTGTTTTGATCATGAATTATATATATATATATATATATATTTGTAGTATCAAGAATTTTTATTTTTTATTTTTTTTGTTTATGAAATTATTACACACCTTTCAATCCAACCAATAATGATTGATCTGATATTTTATTTTCTTTCCTCTTTTCTGGGTTGATCTGATTATGTGTCTTTACTACAATAACAATATGAATTTTACTGAATTGGTTTTTTTTTGTGATTGGTGATGATGAAGAAACGACTTTGATGATGATGAGCAGTACCGTGAGAACCCCTCCTCCTCCTCCTCCTTAAGCCGTCGGGCCAGTTTGGTTGAGAGGAAATCGCTTCTTCCTGCTGTGGCGGCATCCACCCGGATGTCGTCTGCGCTGATTCGGCGGCTGGGGATTGGGAGGTCACGGCTCAGGTCCAGGGATTTCAAGAACATGTCCATTTTCGCCACAATTGACAAGGTTAGTAATTTTACATACATAATATGTGCTATATATTTACATATATACATATTAATTGTGCCAAATTTAGTTGTTTGAATTCTCAACTTGTGTGGAATTTGTGTGAAATTCTCGTAGAACATTTTGGTAATCTCGTAAATTCCCAACTCTGAAATTGATTGCACTGTGGTTTCCTTTTCATTGATTTTTTTTTTTCCTTTCTTTCTTTGTGTCTGAAGGCAGTTTTCAAGTATCTTTTATCAGTGTTAAGTATTTAAGAGCTTGTTTAGTACATGATGTAGATCGAATTCTGTTCTTTTATTTTTTTAGCAAGAGAAAAAAAGCTCGAGATATATGTGGCATGAGAAGAACAACATGCTTTGTCCTCTTTTTGATAACGAAGTCTATTTATTTCATCCATGAAAGCCATTGACTTCCATTCTTAAATGAATGATCAAGTTATGTTGGCTTTTATTAGTGGGAGTTTTCAGAGGCCAACGGTTAATGGTGGACTGTGGAAGCATATGTGCCTTTGTTACTGATCTGTCTGATGTAACTCATGCTGTATTTCTATTTGCATATGAAGTTGGCAACTAAGATGTAGTGACTTGTGACTCCTCATCCTTGTGTTGTTTCGTAAATAATCCCACATTTGGTACTGCAAAAGTTGCTCAGAATAGCTAATCCCACGTGACCCTTTTACCTACATATGAGGGATTATTTTGTCCTAGGGGTGAGACAGTTAAACCGGGGATAACTCTTTTGCATGTGAATGACTAAAATGCCTTTTCCTGGCTTACACATTCGGGGGTATCTTATCTGCCTAATCCAAACCGAAATCAAACATAGCCGGTGTAAAGTGGTGACTGTGCTCCTTTTTTTGGCACCTTTCTAATATACTTATTTGTCAAAAAAAAAAGGGAAGAAGAAAGAGGAAGAAAGAAATGGGCCGGAGTCTTCAGTGATTTGTTTTTGGTGATGCATCTAGGAGCACAATAGGAGAATCTTTAATGGAGGTGTAGTTTTTATTTTGGAGTCGAAACATTTGATATTGAGCCCTTTTTTGGATTACTATTAGGAATCTCTCTCTCTCTCTCTCTCTCTCTCTCTTTTTGATAAATACTATTAGGAATCTCTTTCTTTTGTTTCTTGATTGATTTGCCAGAAGAATTTAGTTTATGGGTTGATGTATAGTTTGGCCTTTTTCCCTCTTATGTAATTTTTGCCCGGGATTTCACCTTGTGTCTCGTTCTAGATTTTATCTACCAAGAAGAGGAAAATTCTCCTTCATTATTCCCCCTTGAGATACAACATGAACAAAATAAAGTTGGTTGTCTTAAGGCTGGTCATGTTGAATTCTCAGACTATTTAATCTTGGATTAGAAAACTTAGGCTGTCATTGATTTAGTAGTACTGGAGGGCCAACATCAATCATTATATTCTCCTATGTGTTGGAGGGCTAACAAGAATTTGAATCAAATGGAAATTGATTGGATGGGATTTTGGTGTGCTGAGAAGTTGATGTACAAATGCCTAGGAGGACTAGCTCCAACCTTCAAAATCACAATTGAAGAAATAATACCTATTGGGAGCAAATATCAATCATTTTATTCCTCCTTTGTGTCTGCTTAGCAAAATCATAGAAGAAATAATAATACATATTGGGAGTAACTAGAATGGAAAGAACCCTCCTTGACTGCTTAGCAAAATCATAGAAGAAAAAATACATATGAAAGCAAGTCAAATCCAAACAAAAGTATAAAGAAAAATCTTAGCCGCAATATATCTAATTTTTTATAGGAAAACTTTTGACTTGAAGGATAGCTAAGGGACAAGCTTGAAAGAAAAAATCTTCCATTGTATGAAAATTGCGAGTTTTCAATCAACTTTGTTTCCATCTATTAAAAAATTGATATCTCAAGTGGAAGCAGACACCCAATCTATTAAAAAACTGAGATCTCAAGTAGAAGCAGACACCCAATCTCTAGGGATTTTCATGGCTCGAGCAGTGGCCAACGATTTTGCAAATTCTAAGGTGGTTTTAACTTGGATTTTGGATGGGATTGATCTTCAAGTCATCTCATTTATAAATACTCGTTCCATCCTTAACTGTTTGTCAATTTTCAGCATTTATGCCTTTTAGTAGGGTCAATAAATAATGTATTTTTTTTTCCTACAAATTGAAAGAAAGAATAAATAAAAAAACATAGATGATTTTTTTGGGATGTTTGGAATAGTTAAAATGGACCAGCAATTTCGTACGGGAGGAGAATTAAACTAGTTGTAACCAAAATAAATTTGTCAAATAAGAGAAGCATCCATATTCGCTTGCACTATCAATTGATTAATATGCATTTTACATCACTTTAATACATTTCAAGTTTGTTTTGGTGATTTCCTAGTCAGTGGTGGATCGCGTTTAATTTGTGGTGAATTCACAGAGTATCATGGATGCTTGTTACTCTACCAACCATTCAGGAACAAACATCACCGATTTCCAGTGGTATAAGAAACACGCTAACAAGTTTTAGGATTCAACACCTAAGGCACATGAACTGGGTTACGGTTGGGTTGTTTCTTTTCTTTTTTTTTTCCCCCTTACTAAATGGTGAATTGGTTGGCTACGAGGTCCTGTGGTTTTTGTCCGTTTTGATTTTCGACAAGAAGAAGAAGGAAAGAAAAAAAGAAGGGAATCCTTTTGTGTGTCTAATTGATTTTTATATTGATTGCAGAATTGATTGGCATAAAGCAAATTCGTACTGGTTTAATTGAATAAAATGAACAATTCATAAACTCTATCATGTTATGTTATCAATCCTAAGCAAATTTTTTTCCATTTTGAGGGCTAAATCTCCTCTAGACCTTATTCAAGTGTCAAACAACATTTTAAGTGTGAAGCATTAGCACTTTATCTGAATCACTAGATCTTTAGCATTGTCAAATTAATTTTTTATTTGAAATGTTACTGCAATAGTCATTTGACCAAAAGATGTGAAATAAAGCCCTGTTTATAGATGAGGGCTTATTAGGGTTATATTTTAAGCCCGGCTAAGAAAGATTTATACAAGCCAACTAAAATTTGGGATATACGTAGATCATGGGATATACGTAGATTTTGTTCTCTAGGAATGGCACTGTATAGTTACCAAAAAGCATGACATTTTGCATTTCAACTGTAGGAAACTTTCACCAGAGTAAATGTTCCCATAGAGTGGCTGCTATGATTTTTTCCACGGCGAAGCATGGCTAGTATTAAGGGCGATGCATGTTAGATTAGCACAATGTAAGAATGGAGTTAATAATAAAGACTTCCTTTAGGAAACACTGAACCTAGGTGTTGGTCAGCATGCAAACGAAAGGCTATATACACTCACAAGACTAAAGTATCAAAATTGATAAGACCTAAAGCACATACCTACTACATCAAGTGTTTTGGGAAGGGTGAGATTAGAAATCAGACAGAAAATTTAGGTAAAATTCATTTTACTTATAGTTAAAAGAGATTGAAATTTTGAAAGTACACGTTTTCTTTTGATTTATATCATTATCGTTGTCATGATGATTGCACCAGCATGTGACTGACATTACATTAGATAGCAGGATTGGCTGTGGTACGCCATCACTGCCGCCACTCCATCACCATCATGATTTCATCAACTATTGGAATAGTTTCTATTTACACCTTGAGATTCATTAAATTATTGTGAACTGTAGCAGTTCAATGTCAACTTAATGTTTAACTGTGAATTGCCTCTATTTATTTCTTCATTTTATTGATTACTATTATTAGTTTTTTTTTAATTTTTTCTTTTCATGTAGACGTGGCGTAAAACAGTTGACAGGGCTTCAAAGTTCTTCTTGGAGATGCATTACAACCAGCACAAGCGCTTGACAAATGATATTGCTTAGACCAAGCTATTTCACACTGTGGAAATTTTTATATGACCTGGGGTGTTGGGAAGGAAGGTTTGGCCCTTGTGCACTACTAGCGTCTAACTTATATTTACTTATTCTTGTATATGTATTTTATCACCACAGCAAAATAATTGTTGTATTTTGTGTCATACAAATTAAGTTTTTTACCCTCAAAGTTGTCTTTTATGGAGCTGTGTGATTTAAATTGGCCATCCAATTTTTCCATTATGATTTATAAAATCCAGTAAACATTTTACTGTGGAAATTTTTATCTGACCTGGCGTGTGGTAGGGGGAGTCTCTTTCCAGTAAACATTGTGTGATTTAAAGTGTCTCTTTCCAACTTAGTTTTCAAAGCGGGAGTCCCGTGCTAGTGCCGTAAGTTTTCACAACTCGCGTTGGTCACTCCCAAAGTGTTTGAGGTGTTCCTGGCCCTTCTTGCCACTGTTACATAATTTTGGCCCCCCGATGGCCTACTTCCAAGCTTAAGTGTTAGAAAATTGTATTTTCCGACCTAGTTTTTAAACCGGGAGTCCCATGCGAGTTCCGTTAGTTTTCACAACTCACGTTGGTCCCTCTTTAGGTGTTTGAGGTGTTCCTCGGACCTTTTCTTGACTTTCACACGATTTTGGCCCCCCGATGGATTATTTTCAAGCTTAGGTGCGAGAAAAGTGTCGTTTCGGACTTAGTTTTCAAACCGGGAGTCCCGTGCTAGTTCTGTAAGTTTTAACAACTTACATTGGTCCTTTCCGGGGTGTTTGACGTGTTCCCTGGGCCTTCTCGTGATTGTTACACAATTTTGGCCCCCGACGGCTTGTTTTCGTGCTTACGTGAGAAAAAAGTACATTTTTTGATTTAGTTCTCAAACCGAGAGTCCCGTGCAAGTTCCGTAAGTCTCCGCAACTTACCTTGGACCCTCCTCAGGTTTTTGGGGCATTTCCCGGTCCTTCTCGTGACTGTTACACGGTTTTGGCCCCACCCGGTGTCCTATTTCCAAGTTTAAGTGTGGAAAAAGTCTCTTTCCAACTTAGTTTTCAAACCGGGAGTCTCGTGCTAGTGCCGTAAGTTTTCACAACTCGCACAAGTTGCGTTGGTCACTCCCGAGGTGTTTGAGGTGCTCCCGGCCCTTCTTGCCACTGTTACATGATTTTGGCCCCCCGATGGCCTGCTTCCAATCTTAAGTGTTAGAAAAGTGTATTTTCCGACCAAGTTTTCAAATCGGGAGTACCGTGCCTGTTCGTTAAGTTTGCACAACTCAAATTTGGTCCCTCCTGAGATGTTCGACCTGTTCCCTGGGCCTTCTCGTGATTGTTACACGACTTCGGCCCGCCGAGGCCTATTCTCAAGCTTAAGTGTGAAATGAGTACCTTTTCCGACCTAGTTTTCAAACCGTAAGTCCCGTGCTAGTTCCGTAAGTTTGCACAACTTACATTGGTGTTCCACGGGCCTTCTCGGGACTATTACAGGATTTTGGGGGGCCCCCGATGTCCTATTTTAAGACTTAAGTGTTTAGGAAATGCATTTCTTGACTTAGTTTTCAAACCGGGAGTCCCATGCGAGTTCCGTAAGCTTCCACAACTCACGTTGGTCCCTTCCTAGGTGCTTGAGGTGTTCCCCAGACCTTCTCTTCACTGTCACACGATTTTGGCCCACCGATGGACTATTTTCAAACTTAAGTGCGAGAAAAGTGCCGTTTCGGACTTAGTTTTCAAACCGGGAGTCCCGTGCTAGTTCTGTAAGTTTTCACAACTTACATTGGTCCCTCCTGGGGTGTTTGACGTGTTCCCCGGGCCCTCTCGTGACTTTTACACGATTTTGGCCCCAGACGGCTTATTTTCGCGCTTAAGTGAGAAAAAAGTTCATTTTTTGATTTAGTTCTCAAACCGAGAGTCCCGTGTTAGTTCCGTAAGTCTCCGCAACTTACCTTGGACCCTCCCGAGGTGTTTGGGGCATCTCCCGATCCTTCTCGTTACTGTTACACAGTTTTGGCCTTCCCCCGGTGTCCTATTTCCAAGTTTAAGTGTGGAAAAAACGTCTCTTTTCAACTTAATTTTCAAATCGGGAGTCCCGTGCTAGTGCCGTAGGTTTTCACAACTCGCGTTGGTCACTCCCGAAGTGTTTGAGGTGTTCCCGACCCTTCTTGCCACTATTACATGATTTTAGCCCCTCGATGGCCTACTTCAAAGCTTAAGTGTTAGAAAAATGTATTTTCCGACCTCGTTTTCAAATCGGGAGTCCCGTGCCTGTTCGTTAAGTTTTCACAACTCAAATCAGTCCCTCCTGAGATGGTCGAGGTGTTCTCCGGGCCTTCTCGTGATTGTTACACGACTTCGGCCCGCCGAGGCCTATTCTCAAGCTGAAGTGTGAAATGAGTACCTTTTCCGACCTAGTTTTCAAACCGGAAGTCTCGCGCTAGTTCCATAAGTTTGCACAACTTACATTGGTTTCTCACGGGGTGTTGGGGGTGTTCCACAGGCCTTCTCGGGACTGTTACAGGATTTGGGGGGCCCCCGATTTCCTATTTTAAGACTTAAGTGTTTAGGAAGTGCATTTCTTGACTTAGTTTTCAAACCGGGAGTCCCATGCGAGTTCCGTAAGCTTCCACAACTCACGTTGGTCCCTTCCTAGGTGCTTGAGGTGTTCCCAGACCTTCTCTTCACTGTCACACGATTTTGGCCCACCGATGGACTATTTTCAAGCTTAGGTGCGAGAAAAGTGCCGTTTCGGACTTAGTTTTCAAACCGGGAGTCCCGTGCTAGTTCTGTAAGTTTTCACAACTTACATTGGTCCCTCCCGGGGTGTTTGACGTGTTCCCCGGGCCCTCTCGTGACTGTTACACGATTTTGGCCCCAGACGGCTTATTTTCGCGCTTAAGTGAGAAAAAAGTTCATTTTTTGATTTAGCTCTAAAACCGAGAGTCCCGTGTTAGTTCCGTAATTCCCCGCAACTTACCTTGGACCCTCCCGAGGTGTTTGGGGCATTTCCCGGTCCTTCTCGTGACTGTTACACAGTTTTGGCCTCCCCCGGTGTCCTATTTCCAAGCTTAAGTGTGGAAAAAGTGTCTCTTTTCAACTTAGTTTTCAAACCGGGGTCCCGTGCTAGTGCCGTAGGTTTTCGCAGCTCACGTTGGTCACTCCCGAGGAGTTCCCGGCCCTTCTTGCCACTATTACATGATTTTAGCCCCTCGATGGCCTACTTCGAAGCTTAAATGTTAGAAAAGTGTATTTTCCGACCTCGCTTTCAAATCGGGAGTCCCTTGCCTGTTAGTTAAGTTTTCGCAACTCAAATCGGTCCCTCCTGAGATGTTCGAGTTGTTCCGCAGGCGTTCTCCTGATTGTTACACGACTTCGGCCCGCCGAGGCCTATTCTCAAGCTGAAGTGTGAAATGAGTACCTTTTCCGACCTAGTTTTCAAACCGGAAGTCCCGCGCTAATTCCGTAAGTTTGCATAACTTACATTGGTTTCTCCCGGGGTGTTGGGGGTGCTCCACGTGCCTTCTCGGGACTGTTACAGGATTTGGGGGGGCCCCCGATGTCCTATTTTAAGTGTTTAGGAAGTGCATTTCGTGACTTAGTTTTCAAACCGAGAGTCCCATGCGAGTTCCGTAAGCTTCCACAACTCACGTTGGTCCTTTCCTAGGTGTTTGAGGTGCTCCCCAGACCTTCTCTTGATTTTGGCCCACCGATGGACTATTTTCAAGCTTAGGTGCGAGAAAAGTGCCGTTTCGGACTTAGTTTTCAAACCGGGAGTCCTGTGCTAGTTCTGTAAGTTTTAACAACTTACATTGGTCCCTCCCGGGGTGTTTGACGTGTTCCCCGGGCCCTCTCGTGACTGTTACACGATTTTGGCCCCAGACGGCTTATTTTCATGCTTAAGTGAGAAAAAAGTTCATTTTTTGATTTAGTTCTCAAACCGAGAGTCCCGTGTTAGTTCCGTAAGTCCCCGCAACTTACCTGGGACACTCCCGACGTGTTTCGGGCATTTCCTGGTCCTTCTCGTGACTGTTACACAGTTTTGACCTCCCCCGGTGTCCTATTTCCAAGCTTAAGTGTGGAAAAAGTGTCTCCTTTCAACTTAGTTTTCAAACCGGGAGTCCCGTACTAGCGCCGTAGGTTTTCGCAGCTCGCGTTGGTCACTCCCGAGGCGTTCGAGGCGTTCCCGGCCCTTCTTGCCACTACTACATGATTTTAGCCCCTCGATGGCCTACTTCGAAGCTTAAGTGTTAGAAAAGTGTATTTTCCGACCTCGCTTTCAAATCGGGAGTCCCGTGCCTGTTCGTTAAGTTTTCACAACTCAAATCGGTCCCTCCTGAAATGTTCGTGGTGTTCCCCGGGCCTTCTCGTGATTGTTACACGACTTCGGCCCGCCGAGGCCTATTCTCAAGCTGATGTGTGAAATGAGTACCTTTTCCGACCTAGTTTTCAAACCGGATGTCCCACGCTAGTTCCGTAAGTTTGGACAACTTACATTGGTTTCTCCCGGGGTGTTGGGGTGTTCCACGGGCCTTCTCGGGACTGTTACAGGATTTGGAGGGGCCCCCGATGTCCTATTTTAAGACTTAAGTGTTTAGGAAATGCATTTCTTGACTTAGTTTTCAAACCGGTAGTCCCATGCGAGTTCCGCAAGCTTTCACAACTCACGTTGGTCCCTTCCTAGGTGTCTGAGGTGCTCCCCAGACCTTCTCTTCACTGTCACGCAATTTTGGCCCACCGATGGACTATTTTCAAGCTTAGGTGCGAGAAAAGTGCCGTTTCGGACTTAGTTCTCAAATCGAGAGTCCCGTGTTAGTTCTGTAAGTCCCCGCAACTTACCTGGGACACTCCCGAGGTGTTTGGGGCATTTCCCGGTCCTTCTCGTGACTGTTACACAGTTTTGGCCTCCCCCCGATGTCCTATTTCCAAGCTTAAGTGTGGAAAAAGTGTCTCCTTTCAACTTAGTCTTCAAACCGGGGGTCCCGTGCTAGTGCCGTAGGCGTTCGAGGCGTTCCCGGCCCTTCTTGCCACTATTACATGATTTTAGCCCCTCGATGGCCTACTTCGAAGCTTAAGTGTTAGAAAAGTGTATTTTCCGACCTCGCTTTCAAATCGGGAGTCCCATGCCTGTTCGTTTAGTTTTCACAACTCAAATCGGTCCCTCCTGAGATGTTCAAGGTGTTCACCGAGCCTTCTCGTGATTGTTACACGACTTCGGCCCGCGGAGGCCTATTCTCAAGCTGAAGTGTGCAATGAGTACCTTTTCCGGACTAGTTTTCAAACCGGAAGTCCCGCGCTAGTTCCGTAAGTTTGCACAACTTACATTGGTTTCTCCCGGGGTGTTGGGGGTGTTCCACGGTCCTTCTGCTCTTACAGGATTTGGGGGGGCCCCCGATGTCCTATTTTAAGACTTAAGTGTTTAGGAAGTGCATTTCTTTACTTAGTTTTCAAACCGCGAGTCCCATGCGAGTTCTGTAAGCTTCCACAACTCACGTTGGTCCCTTCCTAGGTGTTTGAGGTGATCCCCAGACCTTCTCTTCACTATCACACGATTTTGGC